TGCAATAAAAAAGTTATCTAGTTAAACCATTTTAAATAGATGGTTGGTTAAAGTAAGTCACTTTTTATTCTAAACTTAAGCAGATCGTGGGTAATATCGCAAGCTTCTTCCCGAGGAGTTAAATGAAAGTATAGGCCATGCTGTGTCTAGATGGTGCTCTGATTTTATATTAATTTTCCTAACGGCTAACTTAAATCTTTAGAAGAAGCAAGCATTTTTTTTCGGCCTGTCGCAGGGTGGTCAATCCTCTGAAGGGTAGGTCGGAAGCTCACTGGCATGAGCGTTGTGCGAAGTAATGCTCCACGTCTTCTCCGGTACAGGCGGTTTTGTACCCTAACCTGATTACAAGCAAGCATTATTCCCTACAGGGTATATAAGTACTATGGTGTTCTTTTCCACTTAAAAATATCTTATTTATTATATAAGTCAACGGATAATCATTATTATTAATACATTATTACACATATAATATATCTGTTCAAATTCTTATGTACGTACGTACATACCTATACTTACATAATTTCTACATTTAAACAATATTTGTAAGTTATACAATAAAACGCTAGAGCCATTTTGGTATTTGCGTGCAAATAACTTCCTTTTGTTGGGGAAGTATCCTAAGCCTACTGTTGTATTCAAATTACGTGATATAACACTCGTTAAATGATATTTGCGTGCATTTTGTCTGTTCCATTTTAGATTGTATTATTATTAACAAGTGTACTTGATGTCCTTCAGTAAGAGTTAATGATTTCTTACTCCATTTAGAAAAGATATAATTAAATTGAAAATGGTTGGGTGTAACCCAAATTAAGTGCTTATAAATATGTGTAATACATATTTATATTTTCACTACATAAATAATAATAAAAATTGATAAATTTAATGAATTAAAACAAATTTAAAAAGTTTACTCGCTTTATTGCGATACTTATTCGTTGTCCGAGGAAAGCACCAGCTCTGGGGTCACCGATACTATCAACCAGGCGCCAACTTGACAATTAGTATTATTGATAACTTTTCAGTTTGTGATTCTCTACCCTGGGCTTCAATGGTATTTTTTTCTAACAGTGCATTTAGCACTCTAGATCCTAGATAGAAGATAGAGATAGATGGATAGAATCCGGCATGCCTCAGACCCTAATGTCAATGGCGGCTGTCAGGCACAGAAGGATGTTTACATACTTCGAAATGAAATAAACATATGCCAAGGCCAAGACGAAGAGTTGTAGCGCCACTGATTTTTGTAGTGAATAATAAAGTAAATCATTTATTCATTTAACAAATTACCTACATTATGAACGGAAACATACATTGAATGCTTCTAATTTTACACTTACTGTCAGTTCTCAAATCAAGGGCGTAGAACGGGAGAGAAGAACTGGCAATAAACTCTCCGCCACTCTTTTTAATCAAGTTTGGTTTTACAAAATGTTTTAAGCTGCAAACATTACACCAGCCACATGACATCTTAAGTAATAAATAATAATAAAATAAATTAAAAACAAAGATTTGTCCTCTATCAGCAGGAGGCATGGTGAAATAGGAGCACGCACTTACATTCTCGTGGGCATAAAGGCTTGGCTTATCTACCAATATCTCCTTAATCGGAAACAAATACATATAGCAATAAGAGTGAATTATGCTTGGCCAAATTACATTTCATATTAAAAAAATAGATGAATAATAATAATGATTTAAACCTTACCTGTTTTTAACGTTCCAGTTGAACTAACAGCAGATTCAAAAAGGTGTCTCTCATTATCTTGATCTCGAAATTTTGAATATATATCGAATTTTATTAATATATTTGAAATCAATGCTAAAAATAACAATAACCCAAATCTTAATTTACTTGTAACTTACGAGTTGCGGCTTGCGGTGTAGACAATTGCTAATAATCAGACATACAGTCTATCATTACAATATTGGGTTTCATATACAAAATAAGAACCACATTTCATTGAATTTAAATGTTTAAATTATATTCATTTGGCTTTTTGTAGCGGGGAACAGTGACAGTTCGTCCACACATTTTGGGTTCGAATCCCGGATGTGGCCGAAAAATATAAAAATTGATACCAACGCAATTCTCTAACTTGGTTTTAATATCTTACTACTTGTTGATGTTGCGACTTGACCGCGCTATGGTCCGGGGGGATGCTCACTTCAAACACTTATGATAGTATATCTTTACTCATAGAAAAAATATAATTAGCTTTGATTAATGATATACCTTAATTTCATTTAATTTTGAAGCTTTAAGAGAACGGCATTATAACGGAAATTAACTATTCTTCACGTAACACATGTCAGTCTGTGCGATTACGAATTAACCGTTTCTTGTGCGTTCCTCAGTAATTATGTTGAATGAGACTTCAATGGATTTGTCTTATATTTGATAATGTTTTTATTGTGTAATAGTTAGTAGTGTTTTATTTATTTGTTACCGGCGTTAAGACAATAATGTCTATTCTTATTTGTTATTTGAATTGCGATTCGAGATTTTACAGTGAAAAAATGTTCGCTTAAATTATTAAAGTACTTTTGGTAAAGTTGGTTAACCGCAATGTTTTGCATCTAGTACACCATAATTAAAATAATTAAACAAAGAAATGACAGGTTTAAAACGAATTATGTTAATTCATGTCGCACGAAGTTCATTGAATTTGAAATAATGGCAGACCTAAAATTGAACTATTATAGAAAAATTGTCTAGATGTGTTGTGATGAAATAAGGGTTTGGCAATGACAATTTCTATAAAAAATAAATATTAGGCATTGCTACGATGCCGTGACTCAAACTTAATATCGAAAAAAGGCACAATTGTCAGTCGCAGGAATCATGGGACAAAGGGAACGGACTATACAGTCACGAACTAATATTGAGGGCATAATGAAAATAAATATTGGCAAATATACAATTACAAGTGCGACGAGACCTAAGAGAATGCAACTCGTGGCGATTGGACTTGTAAAATTTTTCCCCTTAACAAAATTAAAAATCTATTACAAATAATAGCAAAACGTAATAAAGTATTAAGACGTCTTGAAAAAGGCGATATTATTTTGGGGTGGTGCAAAAGATATTAAAACCGTTTTCTGTTTTTGTATATATGTAAGATTTACTCGAAACCTCCAGTAGGCTTCTGATCATCTTCCTTCTTTATCCTAGCCAAATCCCCTCTTCTCCTATCAATATTTAATAGCCGTTCTTTTTTCATAGTCCAATTGAAACTCGTAAGTAGATATTTAAACCAAGCCCGCGGTATAAGTTCCGGATATTGCCCTTAAAACAAACAGCAAACAATTTCCTCAGATACCAGAAGAAACAACTGTCAGGATTTGCTTTCCTAATAAGCCTCCTTGACGACGCGAGCCCCGGGCTTCAGTAGTTAATAGGGGGCAGCATCCCTTTCATATAAGACAGCTTATTCTCTTCTGTAACTGTATTAGGAAAGTTGGATGTTTATGGTTATATGCAATATTTATATATATTTCCAACACACCAATATATATAATTTACCATATTCTTAACCTACATATTAATAATAATAAAAAATGGAGAAATAGAAAATTATAACAGATTTAAAAAGTTCGGTCCCTGTGGCATTTAATGCTGGAATTTCCTCGCTGTATTGCGATACTTATTCGTGGAGAAAGAACCAGCTCTGGGGTAATCGCTACTATTTACTGTGTTTACTTCCACCCCACGGCCCAAGAGCCTCAACTCCAAAGGGACTCTTTGAGACTTTGACATTTAGCGTAACGCATTAAAAAAATATGTAATATCGTCTACAAGAATATGTCTTAAATAAAAAATATGGAAACTCTTTACGATGCGAACTTCACACAACAAACTAAACGTATAATTAAAGTATATATTATTTTAACCCATTTAACTATTCTAGTGTATATTTTTTACTAGATAATAAAAGTGAGGACACACCGTGTGAAAGATGATACGATCACAATTACAAGGTTCCGCTGTTTTGACATGAGCCATTGCGTTTAGAGGATTACAATGTACATTCTCACTGAACCGATTTTAATACGACTTAGGAAGGCTCCATTATCCCACTTTTAACCTTTTTATAAAAAAAATTATTAAATGATTATTGCTATAGTGATGCGGTTTGAAATATTATTATAATATATCTATTTTTTTTAATAAATGTGTGGACCTAAAAGCTTTTAATCCTAGCTTTAAATCCAAGATAAAAACATTTGTAATACGTCCGTATAAACATATTAATTTACATAAATTGGGTAAAAATATATTTTATTGCTTTCATAGATTAACAGTCAAATGATTTCAATTAATCTTCTCGGGGTATTAACCATTTAAAATGATTTCTTAATGTTAGATGAATTTATACTAAACCACGGAACAAGTAATTAAAGTCTAAAGCAATAAATTAAACGATTTAAATGCGATTTTGCATAATGTAACAAAACCTCGAAATCACAACAATTGTTACAATTGTTAAGCCGACAATAGCATTGTCCCATAATGTAATTAAAATTGCCACAATTACAACATTTTTTATTATTTTCTCATGGACATTGATTGGGTTAATTCACTTTGACGTGTCCGCGTAACGTGTTATTCTTGACGTGAAGTTAATATCTTATAAGTAAAAAAGAAAAAGAACTCTTAACAAAATTAAATGTGTTTATCACAAACAAATAAATAAATAGTGGTAAAATTTTACTAAAATCCATACGTCCATACCTTTTCCATTTTTAGTCCAGTATTTAAGACACGTCCTGAGTATATAATATTATTTATTGTCGATTAGTTTGGCAATCGATCGCTATAAAGTGAGGGTTCTTAATCGACGCTTTATAAAAAAAGTATTGCAAAATTTTTTTTATAAAGCTTGATGAAATGATTCAATTTTCTTTTACTTTATAAATTAGTCAAAATTATTGATGTACACTAATAAAAAGACTCAAATGATTTATTTTCTTTTCAGAATACTTGAAAGTCCGTCAAAATGAAAGCATCTTGGAGCAGACTTCACTTGGGTTCCGTTGGCATTATAGCAATGTTGTTATACTTCATTGATTTATCTATAGCTGTAAGTATTCCTAGTTGCAAAATTTTTTTTGTTTGTACGTTAAAACGACCTTCTATCGTCCTTTTTTGCCTAACACACAGCGTATCTTTGACACTTTGGTCTCTACAACGACCTATCCTTTACGTTTAAGCCAGTATTGCATACAACCAGGGCTCGAACCTACTACTCATTGATTTAATAAGTTATTATATCAATGAGTAACAGGTACGAGCCCCCCAGTACCAGCTCCTTCCACTCGATCGTATTCAACGAAGAGCGGTTCGAATCATCAACGAACGTCCTTGGGGTTGCGATGTGGGGTCTCACTGCATCTTCTACCGCATTTACCATGGAGAGTGATCAGAGGAGTTGTTCGGATTAATACCTGCAGCTGAGTTTCATCATCGGACGTCGAGGCAGATTACGAAATTCCACCCGTATCACCTAGACGTCCGTCCATTCACAACTGAGCGTTTTTTAGGGAAATTTTTGCCGCGCACCACCACTATGTGCAAAGAGCTGCCCACTGAATTATTTCCGAACCAATTCGACTTAGGGTCTTTCAAGAAAAGAGCGTACCAATTCTTAAAAGGCCGGCAACGCACTTGCGAGCCCTTTGGCATTGAGAGTGTTCACGGGCGGCGGTATCTAGAAAAGAAGCTTTATTTGTATACAGGAAGTTATTATATTACGCAAACATGCTTTTTTATTCAATCTATCTTTTATTTTCAAAATCAATTCCTATAGAATCGCGTTTTAATTGTTTAATAAGTGGCTTGAGTAAATACAAGTTATAAATGGCTTCATTATAATGAATATATAATTAATTTAATTAAATAATCACTGAGAATTTCTCGGTTACTTTTTAATAGCTTACTGCTAACACAGTAGAACTAATAAATCAATTAAAATACAGGTTTCATTACATCAGTTTTTAATTGACAGTAGATCTAACTTAAACAAATGTTTTTACGGAATGCCACGCTAACTTTGAGTTACGTTAATAATTTAGTTAATTCGCTTATAAAAAACAAATGAAAAAACTATATTATATATAATAAAAAAGGATGTTTAGTTAGAAAGAAAGTGCAGTAGGATCCCGTGCCGTGGGAAGCTAGTTCATTCCATGTGACTAATTAACGGTATTAGACAATAATTTCTACATAATACTTACATTTTATAATTAAACTATTGTTGTTCAATAAGAGTACATTCAGATTCAGCATAGGACAGGTTGAGAAGATGTTGTTTAAGATTGCTAATTTAATCGTTAGTGAAAATTTTGTTATTAAGAAAGTGGATAAAGCTGATGACTACAATTCAATGACAAATTAAGATGATAACGGAGTCAATACATGAAGAGTAGACAAATTTTTGATCAATTTCACAAATCATTTAAGATGGAGTGGTACATGCTAAAATACCAAAACTTTAATTGTGTATATATTTTTTCAGTCTCTAGACGGTTACGTCCCCGGCGAAGACTACCCAGCCTTCGAGGAGGTGCCCAAAGGCCTCGCATTCACTTGTGATGATAAAATACCTGGATATTATGCTGATCCAGAAACACAGTGCCAGGTATAGTCAAAGTCAAAAATCATTTATTCATATAGGTAACACAATATACACTTATGAACGTCAAAAATGAAATATACATTAAATGCTTCGAATTTTACATTTACTACCAGTTCTCAAATCAAGGGCGTAGAACGTAAGAGACGTAACTGGCAATAAACACTCTTCTTTCCTACTTAAAGCACATCTGCTATTCGCCTACCACGCAAAATCTTGTCAAGTTGCAAGAGGAGTTTTTATTACTAAAATGTCTAACTTGCACATTACATGCACTTACGTAATTGTAAAATATTATTAATAATATTACTTTTTTTCAAATCAGACCTTTTTCTGATTTATTCCGCTTTACCACTTCTTAAATTTACATTTATTTAGTTAGATACTTAAACGTGAGTATTTGCGTTTTTAAACTGCTAAAGCTTAACTTAACTTTTAAGTCTTTCTGACGTGGGTTTATACCTTATGTCGTCAGGTATGGCACTGGTGCGTCCCAACCATTGGTGGAAACATTCAGTACTCGTTCCTTTGCAACGCCGGCACAGTCTTCAACCAAAGAACGAGAGTTTGTGACTGGTTCTTTAATGTAAGTTAAACTATACATATATTAACATTTTAATATATGAAATTTTCCTACCATGACAGACCTGAAAGATTTACCCTTAAAAAAATAACATATTATAATTATTGGCGCCTTTTTAAATATATATTTTAATATATTATGAAGCTGATTTTGAATAAATACAATAATTAAGACACTCTTTAGAAGCGATACAGTACTCCATGAGTGATAATATAGCTCTTATTCAGGTTATTTAGTGATCATTGTGTTTGATAGAACTTGAATAAACTTATGTACCTTTTAATCCAGGTGGATTGCCCCAATGCCCCAGCATTCTACGCGATCAATGAGGACCTGTACAAAGACGAAGCTGGCAACTTTATCGCAGGAAAAAAGTAGAATAACAATATTGAGTGCCGTATAGTATAGTACAATTGCGTTAAAAATAATATTCATAATATAGAATCTCCTTAAGTCAATTGACAAAGTCTAGAGCAAACTTCATAAAATATTTAGAAATGTAAGTTAAAACAAAACTAGTTTTAATGTATAATTTAGAAAACATCAATTTCTCAGATGACAATCAATGAGATAATGATTGTAATATATTTTTGGCGCACTTGAATTACCATTTAGATCATTTTAAGCCTAGGTTAATTTTTAACGCCTGATGAAATAAAATAGCAAATGACCGATAGTATAATTTTTTTTTATCTATTGTTAATTTAAAGACGTCTATATCATTTGTATATGTATGTTATTTTATATGTTTATTTAATATTTATTTTTATATTACAGATCACATAATATTAACACAATTTTCGATAAACGACGGTTGATGGCGCGAACTAACAGACAAAATTATATACTAACAACTGCATCAAAATAGACTAATAGAAACTTACAGAAAATCGTAGCAAACTGAAAAGTACAATTATTTTTGATATAACAATAGTGCCAAAGATTTTCTGTAAGTTAAATTTAACGTAATGTAAGACTAGGTAGTTGTGTTGACTTTGTACCACTTCCGAAAAATAATATATTTCAAATTTCACTTATATAATAAATTAAATTATTTGACTACATGACACATAATATAACATTCAATATACTATTTTTCAGATGCATCCACTCTTTTTTGTATTCCTTATTTTTTTTTTTTTGAAATATATGTTTATATTCGTTATAATATTTTGTGTTTAAAAGAAATAAGCTTTGGCACATTTTTAGTTAATAATAAATTACGATTTGTGATTAATAGCAATAAATCTATCTGCTTTTCAGTGATATTATACCTATTTTTAGTAATTTAATAAAATACTTAATCGTGTTTCTTTAAAAATCATGTAAATAACGAATAGTTACCAATAACCAAAATTATAATGACTTTGTATTTTTATAAAATAAAGTTATGATCATTATAATGTTTAATTATTGCCTATACAGTGTAAACTCCATATATCGACTCTGGATGTGCTTTATTACGAAGATACCTTAATATCTCATGATATGAATAAAATAAGTAAAAAAATACAACATAATTACTGCTGCAGCAAAACCAGTCGTCGTCAGACAAAAATAACAGACTATAGGCAATAGCGTTCAAATAAGAATTGTTTTTTATGCAATTACTAACACAAGTCTGAAATAAACTTTTTCTTTTTCTAATACAGATTTTTAAGCAATTGCATAGATTTTATCGCGGGCTTTGAGCGTGGCGACCGAATCATGAAATTCCGTAACGAAAATAACCTAACACACCATGACGTAATATAGGTGCGGCCAATACGCGTTAAAGCGGGACAGAACGCATACTGTGTATTCACATCTCTCTGACGAGATCGGTGACGCGGCCGGTGCAGCCGGTACGCGTTAGAGTGAGACTATATAGGCGTGTTAGTCTGAGTCTGGTAGATTGAATTAATATCAAAGAAACAAAATACTGCATAAATAAATAATTATAATTGAATAAGTTGATAAAAAATGCTATGCAATAGCTTTACCGCGGCAGTCCCCGAGTGCCACACGTTTTTCTTCTTTCTGTAACGACAACTCTTTGTAACGTCAACATTTGCACAGTCCCTTGAGTGTCGTTATATAGAGATTACACTATATTAGTTTTAACATTAACATTTGAGTTTTTGTTTAGTGTTTGGTGTAACCAAAGAGAATTACGTATGTAGGAAATAGAGTAGATATTCTAGTGTCAGAAAAAATGAGGTCGTTAAAAATTTATAACGCCTGACGGTATATATAGATGGCGTGTTTTTAATTTTTCTTAATGCCCGTTCTTCATGTGTAAGAAAGAAGTACACACAATTGAATAACTGAACCTTTTATGAAGTGGAACAGTTCGTTGTGACACTAGCTTCAGGAGTCTGTAGGAAATACTTAGTGAACATAAAGTTGATTTATTCTGATTGCACGATCAGTGTTTTAACATTAGCAAAATATATAGCAACGATCACATTATGTAATATGTATGTTATGTAAAGAAAATAATGGAAGAATATGTCCAAACCCCATATTTGGCTTTGTGAAAATCGCATGTTAAAATGACAATTCACAATTTATCATCATTAAAACATAATTTTGCAAACAAGTACCGTTGATAAACCCGAATGCCCAAAAAGTTGAATGATTGTTGTCGACTGGAAAAACTTGTGACAAAATGACAGTTAAATTAACGAAGATTTTTACTGCACTAATAGAAAGTTTCACAGCTTGTCGGATTTTTTATATATTCCAGAAATATTCGATTTTAAGTTGGGAAACATTTATCTTTATTAATCACAGAAATATTACACTACAAACATAATTTTGCAACTTTAAAAGCGCAAATTCGGCCCCACATGGAGTACTGTTCTCACCTCTCGGCGGAAGCTCCGCAGTATCAGCTCCGTCTACTGTATTCAACGAAGAGCGATTCGAACCGTCGATGACTAGACAGTAGCTGGATCCCTTGGCGTTGCGGAGAGTTGCGGCATACCTCTGCATCTTCTACCGTATTAACCTGGAGTGTTTAGAACATGCATACAGAGACACATTTAAGAAATTAGACCAAAAAAATATATAAAAGACAATACAATAAGAAAACGGTGGTGATGAAAAACGGTGCCAATTATAAATTATACATTTAATTTAATCAAATAAAATTGTCATTGTTTAAAACGGTCTTCTACATGATCATCAGGTTCGTCTGCACAATACGATTTATTTATTTATTTTAAGCCTTATCTTATTTCTCATACAAAAATATCTAATTATCTCATGTGTTAGTGAATATCTTTTACAGTTAGTAAGTATCAGGAACCCTCTCCGGTAAAGACCTCCTCCAAGGCTTGCCACCTTCTCTATCCCGAGCTATTTGGACCCAGTGAGGACCCGCGATTTTTTTGATAATGTCATCATCCCATCGAGCGTAGGGTCTGCCTCTGTGTCGTTTGCCTGGTGGGCCACTCCATGTAGTTACTGTTCATCCACCTATGATCTGTGAGGCGCGCTACATGACCCACCCACTTCCACTTCAATTTTTTTGCGTGGCTTAGAGCATCAATTGCTCTCGTCTCTTGTCTAATTTTTATGTGTCTTATTTTTTGTACCTTTTTAATATTTAGCATGCTCCTTGACATGTTTCATACTTTTTTTCTTATTATATAAACCCTGGGCTGATTCCTAGTTAATAGTAGTGTTCTAAGTACTGTCGTTTGATTATAATTTGTAAAAAACTAATATACGACTGTGTATTTGTATATCTATATATACATTTATTTTAGTATATTTTTTTTCCTCACCTTAGACTTATTTCGCCACTATATATTTTTTTATTATATTATTGTTTTTTTAATCATTCATTTTCATTTATTTTTTATTTTTATTTTTTTTTGTTATTTTGTTTTAAAAAACTTGAGTTTTTGCTTTAGAATTTTTTTTTAAAATGCGAATGACTGCTATGAGGCGTGCACTTTTGGATTTTCCAAACTATTTAATGATATATTATTCATATGTATTTGTTTTGAAAATAATCAAATTAAACTATATATTTTTAGAGAATACTACTGAACATACTAGAAGTAATTTTAACTTACAAATAGTACAATCCTTAATTATATTAATCTTATAAAATTTCCCTGTTAATAAAATTATAAGACACGCAAATGATAATTTGATCCTTTGACCGATTGTCAGTAATACTAATTAATTAAGAATATCAATTACTTACGTCTCCGCTTGCTCTAATTTTTTTATTACACATTTAAGTATAGGAACTTAAATTTATAGGCAGTTAATTGTTTTTGATGTTAGTATTATCACAAATTATTATAGTTTTAGTATAATTTGCAACTATATAGTTTTTATTAGCTATGACTAGTAAAGCTCTTAGTGAACCAAGCTTGGTTCTTTCTTCTCTTACATAATCTTCAATTTGGATAAATAATAATAACATAATAGTTTGTACAAAATTGTTGTATTACCAGCCACGAAAGGCTGGAATAACTTCTGAAAGAAGAAAACTTTACTATTCCTCAGGCACATTGCTTTATAAAAAAAAGCTCCTACTGTTATAGAATTAGCAATTTTAATAACGATATGTATACCCATAATTCTCAATCAGGAGTCTGAGTTCCTATATATTTCTTGTATAGCTGTACGTCTCACACGATAAATCGGGTAAGAGTTTTTATGTCACATTTTGTTAATGAAAACTAATACTAATTAAATATTATATAATATTTAATTAGGAATATCTTAATTGATTGTATTTTCTATAAGGTACGTAAATAAAGTCTAATTAATATATCTATTTGATGGTTGTAATACGGGGTGTATTATACTTATTTGCTATATATTATTCTATGCTTGATATAAACCCATTAGTTTGTTTCTAATACTGTACGACTGACATAACTAATACAGACTTCACAATCCAATTCACCAGTCAGTTTTTTATATACGTTCACTCGTGTCGCACGTATATTTCGCGTTATAATAAATAAATCTAAAATTAAATTTAAACTAAGTGAGTGATTTCAAATTCAAATGGTATTCTATTTGACAGTTATTTTTTTTATTCGTTAGCAATAGTCTCTGGTCAAGCGTGAGGTTGCGTAACGGTTTGGTAACTTTTTTCGGTATGTCATAGAACCCGTTTTTTCATTCAGGTCATTTATTGTCTTGCGTCAATTTGTTGCTGGTAAGAATTATATTATATGGCAATATGGTCAATAGTCCTTGAAAGATATAATTTTTATTATTATTTAATATTAAAAATTTATTTTATCTATAAAAACAGTAAGCTGGATATTTATTGTAATTATTCGTAAAAATATCGCAGTAAACAATCCTATCGAACCTTCGAGAGCGTACAATTTGTAACTTTCATATAATTTAGAAAACTT